AGACAAAGGAGAAGGCCGACTCCGAGTCCGAGAGAGGAGCGGCCGACGAAGGGCTGCTCAAACAGGGGTTGAATTCCCTCGAGTTATGGATCCAAACTCTAACAGGGTGGCTTAATCGGCTGAGTGCCAACCCCTCGAAAATTACACTGTTGTTATCTCTTTGTTCTTCAAAGGCTGTAGCACTTATTTTCTTAGTTAGGCTGCTCTTCAAAGTTTGCATTTATTTTCTAGTTTTTAGGCTCCACCACTCTGTCATGCACTTTTGGTAGTTCTAAAAAAGTCGCTAGAGCAGTCGACGCTTGCCTTGGGCATTGGCGGTGTCGGTATCCTTTGTTGTCTCGGTGCCGTTTTTTTTGCATTCTGCTGTTGCATTTTTTGATAAGGCCAAACTTCAAGGTGATTTCTAAGCTGTGTACAGTGTGGGAGAACCGTTAGAGGCACCCGCACGATGATGATCACATCACAGGAATAGCTTACAACTAAATCTAGTACAGCCTACATCTAGTACAGCGACGAAATAGAAAGCCTTACAGGAGAGAATGAATCCTCCAGAAAGGTGGATTCAGAGAATGGCTGAATTCCTGTAAGAAATCTCTCACAGAGGGTCAATTTGACTTTAACGTGTTGCGTTTGAAGACTCCTTGGATGACGATGAAGATGAACCTTCAATGTATTAAAAAAATGTATGACTACGTGATTCTAACCTAGTCCTCATCCTCATGTCGCCTAGTCCTCATGCCGTCATGCCATCATCCATCTGTCCTCATGCCGGCAGCACCTAGTCACCATCTTCGTGCCGTCATCACCTAGTCCTCATCCTCCTGCCGTCATGCCTTGTTCTAACAATGTTTTTGCTGTCGATCTAGGGCTGCGCCCGTCGCGGCGCCATTGGTGGTCCCGCCAGTTCCAGCAGGTGAGCCACCAGTGCCGCCACCTGGTATGCCACCAGTCTTAAGGCTACCGCTGACGCATCCCCCTACATCATGATCCCTGGTTTCTTTTTCAAGGGGAAAAAAGGGCCCAGGGATGAGCCCAAGGATGCAACGTGGTAGCGCTATCAGTCCCACCACTACCTGGCACGGGCGACCCGCTGACTGGAGTGAGTGCAGCAGCTAACGTTAAGGCTTCCCCTTAAATCCATCTTCGGGAGCATCTCCAAGATGTTTTCAAGGGGGAAACGGTCGCAAGATGTCAGCATCTCAAGATGGATAAGGGTAGGGTCTAATGACGCCAGTGCAGCTATGGCTACTGCGACTCAAGATAGCACGGGAAGATACTCTGCAGAAAGTACAGCGGATGATCCATCGAAACCGAAAGAAGGAATGGGTGATACCAAGAAAGCCGAATCGGAAAAAGAAACAGACCGGGAAAATACTCAAGATAGCACGGGAAGATGCTCTGCAGAAAGTGTAGGAACAGCGGATGATCCACCGAAACCGAAAGAAGGAATGGGTGATACCAAGAAAGCCGAACCGGAAAAAGAAGAAGGCGCAAAAGAGAGACAGACGGTAGCGAAAAGCAAAGCAAAAGGCAAAGCGAAAGGCAAAGCAAAAGCAAAAGCGAAGGCAGAAGCAAAAGTAAGGCAACCTAGTACCAAGAAAGCATGATCCCTTCAGCAACCTAGTAGCAAGAAAGCATGATGCCTTCAGAGGACCATGATCCTCCTTTGGTGGACAATTGTGCTGGCCGTTGTGCCTGTGCGCCATTCGCTAGTAGTCGTGGTTTTCTCTTTTACAATAAAGGACAAACTAGACTTGATTTTACAATTACATCACAGAAAGGAGACAGACCCGTACTACTTCTGTATAAAGAATAGACGCACAACCATCAAGGGATCACTTCGAAGACGTGGTGGATTTCCTGAGAGCAAGGACAACTGAGACGACCACTGAGAAGAAGGGCCACATCAACTGAGATTTTTCTTTTCTTGCTTCCTCCTACGACCCCAACTTCATCAGCTTGATGCTGTAAGATTAGACTTAAATCAAAGACTACTTATACGGCGCTCAAAGCACTAAATAAAACAACCGGTTAGTTTTTACCTCTAGCGTATAGCCCTTCCAACAGACTACTTATACCGTAGTACTTACCGGTATATCACCATCTTTCTCTAACATATGCGTCGCCGGCGCCGGGATCGGAGGACTTTGGCAGTCTGCAAGTTCCTGACTTAA